TTGCTGTAAGCTTGGAAAGCCTGGTAGCACACATAACTCGTCAAAGCTGGCTAGAGTAGGTTGCTGCAGAGTAGCGGGAGTTGGCATTGTCGGAAAACTTCCAGGTTTTGCTTATAGTCTTGTACTTGGGCTAGGTAACTGCTGTGCTTGCGTGTTAATTTATCGCCGTGGTTGGCAATCACCCACTCTCGTAAGTTGGGTCGTAACATTGGCCGGTGTTTCCGCCGAGTCTTGAGATGTTGTAATAATAAATGAATAAATAAATAATCAAACAGTTTGATGTACATTTTACTTGTAACTCCAGTACTATACTGGAGTAGCGGTTAGCTTGCTTGACATGGCCACTCTCTGCTCCACGTTTAGCTTCTCAGTCTGGTACCAGTAGCTAGAGAGACTGGCCAGGTTCCAATGGTCGGTGATGCTCATTGTGTCTCGGTTAGAGACACCTGGCTATGGCACTCAGTGTCTCAATTTTTAAACCATTGTGTTTGCCCGCAACAGAGGCCTGTAAATGCTTTCACTGTTGTTGACCGCAAGCAGTGGTTTGTGTCCTTTACTGGTTCCATTTTTTCACACTACATGTACATGTACATGTACTTGTACATGATTGTACTTCAACTCAGGGCCGGATCAGGTAAGTCTCTCCAGGTAAGCTAAATTAGGAGATCAGGTATGTGTCTCAATGTGTGAGGATACCCATCACGTGGTCATTCATGCCCTTCTACGGTGCTATTCAGGCCCTACAGGGGCAGGCAGGGCATTTTTTTACTAAGGCCACAGTGCACAGCTTCCAATCATGACATGCAGCATGATCAGGGGTTCTGGCTAGCCCAAACAAAATGCTCGCCACTTTTTTTCGCAACTTTTTGATGCTTTGGAAGAAATCGCAACTTTCGCAGCTTTCTTCATTTTCACAAAGTACATGTAAATGACTTTATCCTTCGCATCTTTTCCGCAACTGTTTGCAGAGAAACGCCTTGGAGCAAACTGGAGGACGACCATTGAAATGTCCGTGATGCTCCGCTTCAACAAGAAGCGCGGAAACATTGCATAAAATCATCATGACAAGTGTACTTCTCATGTGGCAGCACTGAGCATGCCGCTATGTCATGAATGCTGTGCAAAGGTTCAACAAAAAAGGACAATGACTCATTCCAAGTCTGTTCATTTTCCTAAGCATGTTTCACGCTGTGAACATGATGCACTCATAATTATTATGTAGATCTACATGTACATGTACATGTACTTCAAAGTACGATTGACTTTACTCAGGCAGTTGTGTTTTCCATTTCCGCTTCTTTATTGGTTGTTTTTGGCATCATTTTGCACAAGAACTCGCTCATTTTGAGTTGCAATACTACAGTCCATTTCAAACTATAGACGCGTACCAAGGCAAAAACCGTTATGCCAGCATCTACATGTACATGTATACCACATAAAATCTGTGATCACTTTGTCACAGTTTGTGCATAAATGTTTCCAAATTGGGCGTCTGTAATCCAATCGTTTAGAAACTACATGTATAATGAGAGTAATTGTGGAGCGGTCCTGAGCAATATTCCGAAAACTATTCTCAAAAAGGTCCAGCCAAATTTGAAATATTTCAAAAACCCTACGCGTCTATAGTTTTGAAATGGACTGTAGCAAGCTAGCAACTATTGTGCTTTTAATATGGATGCGATTTCAGCAACTTTCACTTTTGGCATGGTTGCGAAAAGCATAAGTTGCGAACTATTTTGGCATCTTTGGGGAAGGGCTAGTTCTGGCCCTGCCTGTAAGCGCTCTGATTGGCTCAAACCCTGGCAACGATCACGTGGCATGTCTGAAAGGGCATTAATTTTTACGAGTCCCTGCCTCCCTACTTGTCAGTGGTGGAAGGCAGGTGGGTAGCGCGAGCAGATCACGTGAGCCTAGCACAAGGGAGTAGTCGTAGTAGTACTCGTACGGTATAGAGGACTTTCCAATGAGTCATACCGTGCGGCCTATGAGGATTCGGGCCAAAGATCATCGAGTTCACCACCGATCACCGGACTTGAAACGGAGCTTGGGTGGCAAAAAAAGAAGCCTGCACTGGAAGGAAACAGTGTTTTTCGAAAGCAGTTCCATTTTGCATACTGTAGTTTGAGAATACCAAAGGGCTGCTCGCGATCGGATGTTCCCACACCTGGATCGTCTTTGAGTTGTTATCGTTTTCCCTACGATGGAGAACGACGGAACCAGTGGATGACGGACACATGACTCGAGAACTTCGCTCCTTATGCAAATACTTCGAAGTACACGAATATTGTTCCATCACTTCGTTGGCGAAGAGAAAAGTCATGATCATCCCCTGTCACCCCAGTACGTATCGAACTAACTAACCAACTTGTTCAGCTCATTTGTGGCAGCACCAGTAAAGGCGGAAACACGAAGATGATTCCGAACACTATCAACTTACTTAGTTTGTTGGGGTGCAAGGTATAGCTGGAGTTTGATGATTGATAGTGCTGATGCTGATGGTAATGACTAATGTACCCAGCTCTATGCACGTACCTATACATGACTGGTGGTGCTAGCTATTCTAGTACTGGCCCTGGGTGCAACTCATCATCTCTTCCATGCCAGTGTGTATGCCTCATGTTCTGCACAACGTGTATTTCCTTTGTCATGGATAAATACTCTGATCGACCTACTTGCGCAATCTTCTTCTGCTTCCCACTTGGTTGCTGCGCTGTGCAGTTCTTCATCTGCTGCGGCACATACTAGTATACCTCATCTTCTGTCTTTCTGGTCAATTAGGTACATGTATTCAGCTTCTTGATCTTCTTGTGGTGAGGATCATCTTGATCTTACTTCTTGTGTAACTCTTGCAAAGGCAGTAATGGAGGATACTCTACCGGTAATCAGCAACCGCTTATGGAGAATGGCCCAGGTCGAGGGACGACCAGGAAAAAACAATTGCTGTATTGAATGTGCATTCATCAGCGTGTTTTAAGATCAGGACAACTAAGTTCGCCACTACACCAACTTTTTGGCTACATAGGAGCAATGATAATGATGGCCGTGTTTGACTTTGTCAGCTTTCGTGCTACCAGCCACCGCATGTCAACATTGTCATACTCGTACTGATAAGGAAGAAAAACCCACACACGCACGCACACACACGCACACACACACACACACACACACGTACACACATGGATACACTGACAGGCATGCGAAGCAAGAGAGACAGAGAGTCAGGCAGCGAAAGAGAAGTGAGACTACTTGTAGGTTATGGGCACGGTGCTCCAATTTCTGCCCAGCTGAAGTAAAATCCATGTACACTATTTTCGTGTAGTGTTCATTGACGGTGCCAGCCACTGGTGAGTGACCCAGTGGTGTAGGTGTTGACATTCAGCACACATCACATTTCAGTCTCCAACGTAAATTCAGTCAAAACAACACTGCACTGCAGCAACATGGGAACATGCTTCTCCCAGGCCCACCATGCAAGTGCAGTGTGCGCCAAGAACAATTCCAGGTAATTAAGCAGCTACCCAAGGATGGACAGGTTCGGCAAAACACTCCGCGAGTGCCTGACGTTTGCAAACGTATTTTGTTGACAGTTGTTGTTTCTTCCTTCGATTGGGCAAGACACGATAATGTGCCAACCCAGCCAGCAATGAGACACATGCATTTGTATCCATCAGGGCTATTGTAAGACTTTAGAGAGTCCTTTGCATATGTGCTGGGGACATTCACTAAACATTTAGAGAGGCCTGGATACCCAACGCAGGGGGATTGGCTGAAAGGTCTTCGTCCATAGGTAAATATGGATCAATGTACTGGGCCCACGGATTCTGTCAATCTTCTCGCGGCAACGCCTCTTCAAGGCTGGAATAAACAGTACAGTAACTGCGGCTAGTAATCCTCGCGACTTACCGAAACTATTCACCACATCAAAGAAAAGCAAAAGTGCTTCACCACTGCGACGGCCTGCAACATCATTTTCAACCGTACACCGAACAACACATTTGACTCTCTTTTTGCCACCCAAGCACATTTTACCGTAGGACACGGACTTGTCTTATGGGTGATCTTTGGGTGGACACCGGGAAGGCGCCAAAAAGGTGATGTAATGGAAAGTCCTCTATACTGTCGGACTCGTGTACGTGTGTGAGTCGTAGTCTCGTGTAGAGCTAGAGGGGACGGTTTCAAATAGGACACCGGTTGCAAACCGGAACGGACTCAATATTCACTTTCTCTCTTGGTATTTTGATTAGAAAACATATGTCACAGTGAGACTACGATGTGTTATACCAAGAGTACATAACCCGTACTCTTGGTTATACTCCGAGCCAAAATTTCATGGCTCTGCGATGACCAGAAGCGCCATATCAAGCAGGTGAGTTTTTGACGTGTTGCTTCGCACTGCGACTTGAGTTTTACGACTTTCGAAAAATCAACTTCTTGTCGCAGGTAAACAGCGGCTCGCCTCTCGCCAATAAAGCACCGCATACCAATCAAAACTAATGGAAGCACACACAAGGCTTATTGTTACTCTGTACTGGCCGTCGTGGAGCGATAGCAATTACCTAATTTCAGACCCAGAGTGACTTAGACGTGCACTCTAAAACGTGTCCGGTTTGGAGCCACCTCTGATTTGAACTTTTTTGAAGCGAAAAATTGGCCAACTTGGAGGCAATGGGTCAACACAAAGGATCTAGGAGTGGCTCAGTTCGATTGACTCTGGCCCCAGAGCAAACTTCAACATGCCAGTTTCCTTCCACAAACATATTTCGAGTGAAAAATCAACGCTGATGATCGGTTTGGGTCATACAAATTTGGCTGTCAAAACGTCCCGGTATCGAGCCGTCCCCTCTACCGGTACGGTATCCCAAACCTGGGTTGGGTACGACTACTACAGTACTAGTACCATGGACTACGACTCCCGGGAGTACTGATCTTTGCACTACATGATTCATGTCGCGTGCAGATGACGCATTCGGTAGTTTCGACCTCATTTGAAAGCTACTGTCACACTGCACTGCACTGGTCAGCCTGTACTTGCCTTGTTCAGTGTGTTGTTTTCTTCTACTTTTGTAGGGAAGATTTTCAGGTCTGGACAGCAGTTGTTGTTTATTCCTTCGCCAAGCGATAGGAGAAGACAAAGCAGGGTTGCAGAGCATCCAGGATCAGCAATGAGGGTGGACGTCGTCGCTTGCCTCATGGCGCTGGCCGCCGTCTCGGTGTTGGCACAAAAACCGGCGCCGAAGTATCCTGGACTTGCAGGCACGTTCGTTGCTGAGGTGGAGGCCAATATCCTGAACAAGAACTACACTGTGTACACGAGAGAGTTTTTTGACGACGTGCAGAATGTGTCCCGCATCGAGGTGATGCGAAACGGCTCGCGCCATGTCCGCGTCAACGATTTCCGACGTCAGGCGTCGTATCATGTGGACGTGGACAAGACGACATGCACGTCGGGACCCATCAAGCCGGGGCCGGCGGTGAGCGTCGGCGCCGACGGACTGGCACACATGGTCGGCGTGTCCGACTTCTTCCACTTCGGCAAGAAGTTCCACGACACGTACGAGGGCCAGGTGCGAGTGCGTGGCATTCTGTGCGACAAGTGGCGCGGCCAATACAGCGGGTCACAGCGCGGCCACACGTTCAACTACAGCCTGGAGTGGTTCTTTGCCGCGCAGGACAACTGGACCATGCCGATTGGAAACATCGAGCCGGTGGCCGTTCCTGTACGGCTGGTGTTGCTTGGCACGGTGAGTGCCGCCGGGTCCGCTCAACGACATGTCCACCACGTTTACGACTTTGTCGGCTTTCGTACGGGTGCAGCAGCTGCCGCGGCCATGGCTAACATGAATGAGTTGTTTGAAGCTCCACGGGGATACAACTGCAAGGGAGTTGGTGTGGCGAAGACGTTGCCCAAGTTGCCGAGCCGATTCTCGTTCACAATGTCGTCGAACAAAGGCGAGTATGGTCACGTCAGCCACCGCTCGTATGTAAGTTGTGTCACATAGTGTGTGCAGGTGCATGGGGGGGGGGGGGGGCATGTGTGTGTGTGTTTGCGTGTGTGTGCGCGTGTGTGTGTGTGTGCACGTATATGTGCGTGTATGTGTGTTTGCTCGTGTATGACCTGAACAGAGCCCCTTTAGGTGGCCGAAACCTAGGGTGAGCTTTGATTGAGTGTCACTATTACCCTGTGTGTCTGTCTGTCTGTCTGTATGTGTGTTTGTGTGCACGCGCATCAAATTCGGTGTTCTGCAGTATGGTTATGACGCGGATCGTGCCGAGACGGTCTCCGTCTTCCATTTCCACCCGAACAACACGCACCCATATGGCACTGGAAGCTTGCGTTTCCTGCGCAACTTCCGCGAAGGTACCCAGTACATCATCTCGCGGCACAACTGTACGCTGTCGACGCTGCAGCCGTCCGGCATCTCTGACATCGGCGAGGAAATCTCCTACTTGCACGGCCACGCCTCGATAGCGTCGCCGAACGCCGTGTTCGGCTTCGAGGCGTCGCGCAACTTCACCTACGTCGGCCCGCGCACGGTGGAAGGCGTGCACGGCGAGACTTGGTCAGGTAAGATCTCGTCGGCAATAACAGCAACTACGGTTGCGCTGGGTGAAGTCCAACCCGAAATGGATATCCGGCGCCTTTGACCTGCACGGCTGTTGACGCCCTGAAAGTGGCACGAATGCTGCTGGCCATACACTTGTATGTATACTGTGATGTAATAGGAACTGGGCCAGGGCGCCAGCTTTGCACCGTGGGTCGGATTTCACCGAGTGCAACTGTACTTGTGGGCATTGAAATCCGTGTGCGTGGATCTGCTGCTGTCTCTGTCTTGATCTCTAATTGTCATGGCTCCATCGGGCATTGTCGGTAATTTTCCCGGAACGAAACAGTTTAGTCCCTCTCTCTCTCCCCCCCCCCCCCCCCCTACGAACAAAAAAAACACAGTCAATCATTGACTTATGGATTTAATGCGTTTTGCATCTCAGCTCTTCTATTGCTCTGTGTTACCTTCCTGAATTCTGCATGCAGTACTGCGTGACGATGTGAAGATTTACCCGGGCCAGCCGGCCCCACTCACGCTCTGGGAGTATACGTTCAGCTTGCCCACCTGGGCGTTTGACACGTTCCGCGGAGAGTTAAACTCCACTCAGGTAAGCCCGTCTCCTACTCCCTGCAAAGAAATAAATGTAAGGCCAAACCGAAAAAAAGTCTCTAGTTTCAGGTAACCCAACCGACCGTGTTTTTGAGCGCCGACTGAATATTTTCTGTGCAGGCAGTACTGTAAAAGCCATTATTCTCACGAGGAGCATATATAACGATTTCCCAAAATTGACTAGTTTACGTGTACCAAAGGTAACGATTTTCACTCATTCTCAACGCTCAATATGTATAACGATTTCTATTTTAAAAGGGCGACGTGGAGACAATAATCTTAATAATGCAATGAATATAACTAAATGCGCACTCATATCACAGCCATGGGGACGAATCATGTATTCCAGAACGTTTTCTTGTCACAATTATCAATGGAATTCGTGACTAAAGAGAATGATGAAACTACAATAGAATTTATACACTTGGAGTGAAACAGCGAGGATACAAGCATAGTAAGAAAACTAGCACAAACCTAGGAACAATTTGCACAGGTAATAAACTATAGGTGAGGTGAGAAATGATAGGAAATTCAGCAAGTGCAGTGTGACAATGGACATGCATGTGCAAGTGTGTGTGAGTGCGAATTTACTGGAAGGGCGTAAGTGCGGTGACATTTTCTTTTTGTTTGCAAAGATTTGGATCACGAATGCGAATGTAGACTGCTTCTAGAACTTTCAACTGCTTGAAACTACTTGCAGAACGAACAACACTGAACCAAGAATCATCATAACTTTCACGACACACGGGGTTAGACAACAAATGCAATTTAATTGCCGATGTATTCTTCTTCTTCTCACCGCCTCCGCCTTCACTGGGTTTCTGACCACCACCGTCCTTCACACCATCTGCACCATCATCGTCGTCATCGTCATCGTCCTCTTCATCATCGCTGCCACCTTCACCTGTCGTCAGCTCTCCCAGCAACTGACCACCGGGTTCATCATCGTCACTGCACACGTCGCTTCCACACTCCTCCTCCAGCTGCCGTCGCGTTCTCTTCCTGACCGGTCTTCCCTTGCCATTGCCAAACACCTGACAGTCGTCAACTCTTCCGCTGGCATCATCCATATCCGGAGAGTTTCGATGCATCTTTCCAGTCACCTCTGCAAACCGAGCTGCCGCCAGCCGTTTGCTCCTTCTCAGCTTTGGTGAGTTGCGTTTGTCTGCGTCCGGCGTACCGGTACTCGCTGATAATGAAGATAAGACACAGTGTTCGTCGTCGTTTACATTAATGCTTGTTCCCGATTTCTGCGTGCTGTGTTGGTTTTTCCGAGACACCGTTTGTGGAGCAGAAGCCTCTGCCGGAACGGACAGTGGAGTCGGGTGCTTACGTGGTCGGCCACGCTTTGGTCGGGAGGACCTAGCCGCCTGTGACAATAGTGACAGCGGCACGTGTTGTTTGATACGTTCGGACAGATGTTGAAGGGTCCTACCAACATACCGACTACCACATTGTCGGCATTCAAAGTAGTAAATGAGGTGACTCAATTGTAGGGTTGGTAGGACATCCTTCAACATCGTGAACGAACGGATCGTAGTGAACACGGTAACCACATTGGTGGCAAAGTAGGTTTTCTCCACTAGGAATTTCACCACACGGGCCGTGTCCTTCGACTGTAGTCATAAGTCGAACTGAATATAAGTCCAAAATGGCCAAAATTTTGGATGACAGGACCAAATTTGAGTTGCTTGGCCCTGTATCAACGCACGATCGAACTCTAATCCGAGAAAAGCAACTAGTGAAATGCCTGCAGACACTGAAAAACACAAATGAAATATTCGCATCTGAATTTGCACGAATAAAGCCAATCGGTTCGGTGCGACCTAGGATGTATGGCTTGCCAAAAATTCACAAGCAATCTTGCCCGCTACGTCCGATACTCTCCATGACTGGCTCAGCGGACTACAGAATATCCAAATGGCTGTGTATGATGATCCAGCCAGTGCTGGATTTATACTGTAAGCACAACGTCAAAGATACCTTCCAGTTTGTTGAAATCTTACATGAGAAACCAGTTCCATCTTCTGCGTACACGTGTTCCTTTGATGTTGTCAGTCTGTTTACAAACGTACCATTATCCGAGACAATCAATATCTGTGCTGAAACACTGTACCACAACAAGGAAATAAAAGATGTACCATGGCTTTCCGAAGCGGCTTTTCGCCGCTTGATGTTGATGGTTACGAGTGGTGTGGAGTTTTCATTTGACGACATGATGTATAAACAGACGGATGGCGTGGCTATGGGTTCTCCATTGGGTCCGGTCCTAGCCAATGTGTTTGTTGGGTACTGTGAATCGAAGATAGATAAGTGGCCGGAATTGTACGTCAGGTTTGTGGATGACTCCTTCACGTACTTTGATTCGAGAGCAGACGCTGACGACTTTCTACTGAAACTGAATACAATCCATCCTGCACTGAGATTTACGTGTGAACATGAAGAGTCCAATAAGCTATCGTTTCTGGATGTGTTAGTCGAAAAGACCCAGACTGGTGTATTGACTACAGTATACCGTAAACCCACTTTCACCGGGCAGTACATGATGTTTGACTCGTTCTGCTCTTCCCAGTACAAGTCAAACTTAGTTCGTAACCTTGTAAATAGGGCACAACGCATTTGTTCACCAACAAAGCTACAACAGGAACTTGATTTTCTACGCTCCGTATTTGTGAAGAATGGCTACCCGCAGCAGCTCCTCGACAAACTTCTAACAACTACACCTGTTGTTAAGGAACGAGCTATCGGACCGTTGCCGTGCCGCGTTTTTCTTTGCTTGCCCCGGAAAGGGAAAGAATCGAAGGACACGGCCCGTGTGGTGAAATCCCTAGTGGAGAAAACCTACTTTGCCACCAATGTGGTTACCGTGTTCACTACGATCCGTTCGTTCACGATGTTGAAGGATGTCCTACCAACCCTACAATTGAGTCACCTCATTTACTACTTTGAATGCCGACAATGTGGTAGTCGGTATGTTGGTAGGACCCTTCAACATCTGTCCGAACGTATCAAACAACACGTGCCGCTGTCACTATTGTCACAGGCGGCCAGGTCCTCCCGACCAAAGCGTGGCCGACCACGTAAGCACCCGACTCCACTGTCCGTTCCGGCAGAGGCTTCTGCTCCACAAACGGTGTCTCGGAAAAACCAACACAGCACGCAGAAATCGGGAACAAGCATTAATGTAAACGACGACGAACACTGTGTCTTATCTTCATTATCAGCGAGTACCGGTACGCCGGACGCAGACAAACGCAACTCACCAAAGCTGAGAAGGAGCAAACGGCTGGCGGCAGCTCGGTTTGCAGAGGTGACTGGAAAGATGCATCGAAACTCTCCGGATATGGATGATGCCAGCGGAAGAGTTGACGACTGTCAGGTGTTTGGCAATGGCAAGGGAAGACCGGTCAGGAAGAGAACGCGACGGCAGCTGGAGGAGGAGTGTGGAAGCGGCGTGTGCAGTGACGATGATGAACCCGGTGGTCAGTTGCTGGGAGAGCTGACGACAGGTGAAGGTGGCAGCGATGATGAAGAGGACGATGACGATGACGACGATGATGGTGCAGATGGTGTGAAGGACGGTGGTGGTCAGAAACCCAGTGAAGGCGGAGGCGGTGAGAAGAAGAAGAATACATCGGCAATTAAATTGCATTTGTTGTCTAACCCCGTGTGTCGTGAAAGTTATGATGATTCTTGGTTCAGTGTTGTTCGTTCTGCAAGTAGTTTCAAGCAGTTGAAAGTTCTAGAAGCAGTCTACATTCGCATTCGTGATCCAAATCTTTGTAAACAAAAAGAAAATGTCACCGCACTTACGCTCTTCCAGTAAATTCGCACTCACACACACTTGCACATGCATGTCCATTGTCACACTGCACT